GCAGCCAGCGGAAGCCAGGACTGATAAAGTTATTTCCTTTTAAGTCTGTTTGCCTGTCGTCTTTGAATGAGCGAAGAAGGGGATTCAGAACAGGTCCCCCCCCCCACTCCCTCCCGGGATCGTACTTTAAAGTCTGTGGCGAGCGGCCGCCTTCTATTCCTCCTACTGCTGCCGGTCTCCTGGCCAGGTCCAGCCGCGAGCGGCACCGGCAGGCAAATGTGGTGCGCATGCGCAGCGAACCGATTCAAATCATCCCTACTAGTTCACCCAAACCGGTCGAATTTCACTGCTGATCTAATGGTTCTCTTCAGTTGGCATCTTACGTCATGCGCGGTGTAGAAATGTCTGACACGGCACGATTCCCACCCAATGGAAGTGAGTGAAATTTGGATATGCAATAATCCGAGGGCCTCCCAGCTTCCCTGATCTCTGGTGCTGGACAAGCCAATGTTTACGATTGTCCCTGGCTTCAGAGCCAGGCTCTTCCCTCACAGAGGCAGGATGTCGTGGGTTTTCATCGCCAAAAGGGACAGATGAACCACTTTACAATAACAAATGATGTTGAAGGCTGAAGCTTATTCTTGGCACTGGATAGTAGAAACTTGAAAGCAATATTGGCCCCTCATTTACATCTGTGCTCTAGAAATTTCTCATCCAAGAGTTGACTCTCAAAGTAAGAAAAAGGAGTGGGGGGGGGGGAGGGAATGGGATAATTTAAATCAAATTATCCTACAGCGGGGAAATATTTAAGCATGATAACGGTCTGTATAGTAGCCTGGAAGGTTGTGCAATCAATTCCTTTTTGCCTCTGTCACACAGGAGTAAAATCCATCTAAGTGTATAGGACAGAAGTTTGAGTTGGACACTGGAGTCTTGGAAGAAATGTCCATCTGGGTTCAGTTCCAAGTGGGGAGAAAGACACTGGAAACATAGAGGCTGCTTGGAAAGATGGCTTAATGGCAGACAGGACCACATGGCTTGAGGTCTTGGGCAAAAAAATGGGTAGAGATGCTGAGATTGCCCTGGTTTTATGCCCTCTGTTGGGCTTTGAATTTGAGCTTGTGTTCTGATTGGTTGTCAGACTCCCATGGGGCCATGCAGGAGTTAACTTTGTAGGTTGTCTGTGTCCCAAGCTTGGTTGACTCTTGCTGGGTGATGATGTAATGAAGGGGTTTTGGGGGATTCCTCCTATGGCTCCGCCTGAAGGAGGTAGATCTTTGTTATGTAGAATAGACTGGCTCAAGCCTTACTGGCCCATTGACAAAGGTGTGTGTGTGTGGGGGGGTGAGTTTCTGCCTCCCTTTAAGGGGAAATATCCTGCCCTTTTAATATTTCCTAAAATATCTCATTTTCCTAGGAGAGAGATGGGTGCCAACTTCCTACAGAAGCCTCTCCAAAACTCTACAGAATTGGGATAACATCTATTGCATAGCAACTGTGAAATAAGACTCTTCAAAGGAACTCGCACTCAAGCGATTTTAAAAGGACAGCCCAAAGATTTTGTTTTTGCAAGAGGGGAAAGAAAATAATTCACGCATGAAGATATTCACTTAAATGATCCCAGCAGGAATCAGAAGATATGCACTAGATAGCAGAGAGCTGGGTAAGAATTCTGAGGCACGTTTAGGAACCCTTTTCAGCTTCATTCCACAATTTGCTTAAGCAGCTGTCTGATACTTTTATTTATAACGCTTTTAGGCATGAGCTGTACATAGGGGTCTCCAACTTTGGCAACTTTACGACTTGTGGACTTCAGCTCCCAGAATTCCTCAGCCAGCGCATGCTGGCTGAGGAATTCTGGGAGCTGAAGTCCACAAGTCGTAAAGTTGCCAAGGTTGGAGACCCCTGCATCATACAACACTTCTAGATTTGTAAATATCCATGTAACCACTAGGTGGCAGCAAAGAAACACAAGAAGCCATAACATTTTACTAACAATAATACCCAAATAGGAAATGACATATTAATAAAATCAGTAATAAGAAAGTGAACAATGTCTTTGATCCCATCTGGGGCCATGGAGCATGTTATGCCAATTTGGAAATGTTTCTACCCCCCTATTTTTAAGGCATGCCAAAAAGCTAAAACCTCCACGATATGTTTCAATCCCTGGTTTATTCATCTGCATTCGGCCTTGTATTTCTTTATACTGTATATTCAGGGGTGGGCTGCTTCAGGTTTGCACAGGTTTGGGTGAGCCCACCCCTGGCTGGCCCTCCCAAGAGTCTCCACGCAGCCTGTTTAGGATGCCAGGTAAGTAAGAGGTGGCGCAGTGGTTAAATGCAGCACTGCAGGCTACTTCAGCTGACTGCAGTTCTGCAGTTCGGCTGTTCAAATCTTACCGGCTCAAGGTTGACTCAGCCTTCCATACTTCCGAGGTAGGTGAAATGAGGACCCGGATTTTTGTGGGCGAAATGCTGACTCTGTAAATCGCTTAGAGAGGGATGAAA